TCGTTCAGGATCCAATGTACCAGACTCAAGTGTGCGCTCAACTACAGACAAACGTTCGGAGGAAGAAGACGTGAGTGAGAAAGAGGACAAGTTCCATCTGAAGAGACCTTCACGTTTCCTCAAGCACAAGACAGAGAAGAGCTCATCCAAGTCTAGCGTGTGTGATGAAGATGGTTCAGAACGTCTTGAGAGGAAGCCATCCAAGAAGCTTACGGACGCTCTGAACAAGTTCCTAGGACGCAAAGAATCCAAGGGAGAAGAACCGCGTGCTGCCGCAAACACATTACAACACCCAAATGTTTTAGTTACAGGCACTGAGGAAGAATTTCCCAAAAAGCCTCCACGAGTAAAGCCTAAGAAATTCTCGAAGAGTCATGAGAACCTGTGTCTGACAAGTGTAGCAGAAGGAGGCGAGATAGTAACAGATCCACAGCAAGCTGACAAAATGCAGGCCGCTGCTCCACAAGTTGCTGCAGCCACTTCTCAGCCTGGTTTTACTCTTGAGTCTGTCACAAAAAGTATTTGTGACCACCTTTCTCAACTAGAGAGTGATATTACTTCGCGCATTGGGAACATGGGAGTGCAGGAGCAAGGTACTGTAGTACGGCCCACAGGAACACCCTGTCGTCTTCCTACAGCTTCTTCTGTACCATCTCTTACCACCTACGGACTCTCGCCAGCACTGGCTAGTCGCCGCAGTGCAAGACCTACCAACTTAGACTTAGCTGCAGCAGGTATTGACAATCACAAGACCCCACAAGCATCACAAGCGCATACAGTCACAACTGCCAGCAAGGACAGCAACCACATTCCCATAAGTGAGAGTGAAGGAGTTAAGTATGCACAAATTAAAAGACTCGGAAGTGGCACAGGAGAAGTGGCCCCCTCAGAGGATGGGAGTCAAACCCCCACAGAGTCAGGCGAGTCTACAACGTCTGGCCCTGATGACCAACGGGGTGTTAGTGAGAATGATGATGAGAGCGTAATGGACAGGATCACCAGGAAGAGTTACTATTCCCGTTTCCAAGAGATTAAGAAGAAGCCAAAACTGAGACGAGCCAACACCAAGGAAGACATGGACCAGCAACTGGCAGCAGCAAAGGCTCGACTCATGAAGGAGGACCAGGAGCGTGCAATGAGAGATACCCTCAGTCCCCACAAGTATACGTCCCCCCTTGGTTCCCCTAGAGCCAATGTTACATCACCCCCCTCATGGGAGAACCCTCGCCGTCATTCTCGCAAGTCTTTACCACCAGAAGATCTAAGTCATACCTATTCAAGTGGACGCCGGGGTGCTTCTCTGCAGCCAGATGACCTGCCTGGCATCCGTCGTTTGACCTCTGTCCAACCACCAGATGTGGCCATGGGAGTCAAGCGTCGTCTGCCGTCCATGCCTCCTGATGAGCGCGTCCGTTCCTTCCGTGCCCCATCCACACCTAGGGAGTCTCTCTCAGGTCGTCGTGTAAAATCCATCCCACCAGAAGACAAAATGTATGGCCAACGTGCACCATCAATTCAACCTGAGGACATCAGAGGTCCATCTCCTGCCAAGAGCCCTGAGGTAAAGGCTGATGATAGTAATGCCATGCCTGATGTTGTAGCTGCTGCTGCAGCTGCAGGAGCACTAGCAGGAGAAGTGGCAGCTGTTGCAGCTTCAGACGGAACAAAGGAGAGAGGTAAGTCCAAATCTAGAGAGCCGTCTGTAAGTCGTTTGAAGAGTCCTGAACCCACGGAGTCCTGGAGTAGTGCCAAGGATGAGACTCGCACTCAGGCCCGTGAGGAACTATCTCGTCGTCTCACTCACCTAACACGCATCTCTGGCACAAGTGGGATAGCAGCAGCTAAAAGAAATGTTGGTCTGGCAGGAGGCAATGCAAGTGATGGAGCTGGCATTCGGCCATACCGGCGCACCAACACTACGGGACTTCTGGGGGAGCCTACTTCTTCTACCCAACCAGGAACCAGTACCAGCACTGGCAAGACCCTTACAGAGAGACCTGCGTATCGCCGCACAAACACCATGGACCTCCCACCTGCAGATGCAAGAGCACGGCCTGGGAGTGAATACAGGAGGATGCTTCAGGACCCTGCTCGTCGCTACTCTGCCGCCAGGTGGGTTCCTTGAGGCTCTCCTGCCCTGCTGTCAGGTCCTTCAATTTGCAGTCTGGCAGCAGCATCTCCTCCCACTCATCTCCTGTAGCAGCAACACTAGCAGTAGCGCAACTACCACCACCTTAAGTAGTTGTACTATCCATGTCAATAGTAGAAGTAGCAGTCTAAATCAACCTTAATGAGTGGCAGTAGGATGTTCCCATCAGCGTTAGATACTCCCACAGATGTCCTGCAAGTGATGGCACCCCTGCCAGGTGGCCTCCTCCCGTCCTCCAGCGGTGAGTAGTCATGTGAGCAGAGACACCCAGATCACTTACCAATCTCACATTTCATGCTTGCTCCTTATCCTGCCAAAGCACATGTGTTGTTGTCTTCTGTCAAATTGTTCTTTATCTTATACATGTGCCCTAAATGATAACTCTGGTATTTCTTGGAGAATTACGCAAGGTTTAATGTACAGCTGCATCCAGATATGAGTCCTTGGCAATATTATTTATTATGTGTTACATACATAACAGTGACAGCTGAGGGGGAATACAAACAATATGCTTTGGAAATATTCCTATTCCCTGTAAGCAAAATTCAAGTGAAAATAACACAGCAACCTTAATGTTCAATTGCATTTTCTGTTGCATGAAGCTTACATACTGCATATACTATGGGGTGTATTGTGTAACATTGCTCCCTTTGTATTTATATTCCCATTAACATATTTTTACATGGCAAACTTCATTTTAGCATTATTATACTATTGCTGCATTTTACACCTATTTTCAAGCTTTATAAATAGAACTATATAATTAGTTATTTCAGTAATACAATTGCAACTATGATACCCATATAACTGACTTCAGTTTTACAAATCTAAATATTTACCAGATGTACTAACCTATTGTTGCAATTTCTTGAGCAGAAATAAATGAAATATGGTTTGTATGAAATGATAATACTTTGTACAATATTTTTCTTGATTGTCATGATGTTAATACAGCCTATGGTTGAAAAAGAATATCACAAAAGAAGTCATTCACAATATCTTCTAGGAAGATATATCACTCAAGCCTCATACCATTGATAACCATTTTACAAGAATTCTCTTCATGATGCAGAAGACTTGTGACAATTCCCTTTCAAACTCGTGACATTTCCTTGTTTTGACTCTGGACGAATCACCTGCCCCCCACACTTTTCTTTTTTTATCATCACCACCCATTTTATGTTTACAACCACACAATGACCAGGACCCAAGTTGTGATACGAACTGTCTGACATTAATTGTTTCCTCCATCTTGGCGTTGTGGTCAGCATGGCCCGGGTTGGGCTTACTGGATTGGTCTTCCTACAAGAGTGAGATACTGCCAGTGTTTGCATGCTGTCCTACTAAAAGACGATTTTCTATTTTTTCTTTCTTTTTATTCTCTATTTTACCTTGGGTACTTTTCTCTTTTTGTACCGTAATTTTAGGCTTTGCTGCAATTATGCTAATTTATGATCTTTCTATATCTGATTTCATAGGAATTGCTTAGAATTTTATTTATTCAAGATCCAAATGTTTTCATAGTGTTCCCACAAAGTTTATACATTAGTACAGATGTTCAGACTCTTTAAGAATTTTAAAGAAAGTTAACAAAAAATATAATCAAGTTATATTCACATTAGGTAATTTGATTTTTAAGAAATATGTCAGTGTAATGGGCATTAATGCTTATTAATGTACTTAAACACTTATAAATTAACTTTTTTTTATAATTATATCTTCACTAATATGCTGTAATCATATAAAACAACAGTGACTTCACTAATTGGCATAACAAACTAGCCAGTTTTTGTAAGACTCAGATTACTGTTGACAATTAACCATAACATTAACAAATTGAAGGCTTCTTCTAAACTGAAAAAGTAATTCAGCCTTCTTTTGCAAACCAATCATCAGGACACTCGTGGAAGATGAGGCTCTCAACACTACCCCAACCCGTACCACCTCTCGTCTGACTTCGCCGACACCCCAGAGTTCAACCTCCTCCAGCTACAGAAACTACTCCACCTTGGATTCTCCGAGATACTCCAGTGCATCCTCCTCCATCACACCATTGTCACGCAGAACGTCTTTCTATCGATATTAAAATACTATATGGGTTTCTTTAACGAGTATCATATCTTGTACATTGAAATTATTTTGAAATTTCTCTTTCTGAGAAAATGATGGATACAGATTTTGTTTTTAAAAATCAATAAAAGTGAGAAACTGTCATCCAAAACTTTTAATCTGGTATACTTACTGTATTCTTCCCAGTATTTCACTGCAAGCCTATTTTTACATATTAATATTTCTTAAGCAAGTTCTGTCAATAAACTTTTACCATAAATTATCCCATAGGGTATTTCCCATTTTTCTATGGAATGCCATTGTCTGAAGATATATAAAAAGGAGAAAAAGCATTTTAAATAAGAATTTACATCTTACTTTGAAACACTAATTATGAGATTTCTGTCACACTATCAACATCCTATTTATTAATCAATTGTTTTTGTTTCAATTCTATTATCGTCAGATATCCATTTTCAGATGTCTGTTTTTATAATGCTTGTTTTTTTTCAAATATAGTAGTATAATTTATTGCTTTGTATATGTATTTATTTAAGTTTCAACTATTTATTTTGTAGAGAGGAAAGTTTGAACTGGTGCTAATTTCTTGGGTGTTTATATGAATGTCTCTTGTGTGATAACCCACACTTACATTGCTGTACATAATGCAGTTAGCCAGAACACCATTTCTACTATAATCAGCATAATCAAAAGCTGAAAATTTATTGCCACAGAATCAGTCACTTCTAGTGTTACCAAGATAAATCCTAAATACATATATTCTACCTGCAGTCACACCCTC